ACACCTGTACAGGGCATCCCAGCATAAGGCAGCGTCTGTGACAAGGAGCTGTCTCCTGCAGGACCGCTCTGCTCCCTTCCCCACGCCAGGCTCAGAGCCTGCCCTGGCGCATTGATGCAGCCTTTACCTCATGCGGACTCCCCAGAGGCTGCTTGCAAGGCAGCAGATTTTCATTTATTTATTTATTTATTCCCCGCTGAATTCAGCAAACTTCCTCGTGGGTTTTAGGATTCCCTGGGGAGGAAGGTCCAGACCCTAACTCACGGGGGTGGCCAGTGCTGCAGATGTGGTAGGTGCCTGACGTGATATCCATCACCCCAGCCTCCAGATCCCTGCAGGAGCCCTCCCCATCGTGAGTCCCATCATCTTTCTCAGCCTGCGGGCTCCCCTCCCTGTTCAGGCCATCCATATAACACCGGAGAGCAGGTCTCCTACAACACCTTGGTGGTAGCTCTTCCACCTGGCCGTGCTCTCTGGTGGTGCCTGGCCCTCTAAGGCCTGTGCCCTTCTCCACGGAGCTTGGAGGGAGGCTGAGGTCCTCTGGCCAGGGTACGGCACTGCCCCGGGGAGGAACTTGTGGCCTGCAGGCTGAGAGAGCCAGAATCATCCTTCCCCAATCCCCTGTGCACCTATGCACAGCTTGGGCACAGCTGCACCAGCCACATCCCACACCATCTGCTTCAGGGCTTGGGTGTCTCCCTGGCAGGCTCATCCAATAAATAAATAAATAAATAACGCAGGCTGTTTTGCTGTTTGCAAACTGGCCTTGCTTTTTTTTTTTTTTTTTTTTTTTTTTTTTTTTTTTTGTGAATGGATTCATTCACCGTCTGCCTGAAAGAGCCATTTTAGCCAATGGTCTGCGTGCAGGCGCTTCCTCCCTGCTAGTTGTGATTTGCTCTCCCTCGCCCTGCCTTTCGGATTGGGCTCCCGGGCGCCACGTGGTGGGGTCTCTTCTTCTTGACGGGATGTCTGACATTTTTAGGCAGAATAACAAGCAGCGAATGCCGAGGAGCAGCCATGCCTCCCAGATGGCACTGCTCTTAGCCTGTGTTTCCAAGTCAGCGCTGGGGAGAGAGTCTCACGCGCGTTTTTTGCAGATGAACTGGCAGTTGTCTGACGCCTCTGGAGAACCCCTGAGAGCCCCCGTGCCCTCTCGCTAACTTTCTGGTAGAGTTGGCAATGCCCAGCTCTGCTGAGGAGCAGCCGGGCACGTGGTTGGGTTTGCTGCAGGTGGGAGCAGGAGTGAGGAGGAAGGCAACCTGAGGTGGGCCTTGCGCAGGAGGAGTGGACCCCGCATGCTCACGGCCAGCAGCCCTGGGGAGATGGCAGGGCTACAGCCCACCGTTGCCTGCCCTATGAGGCCATCTGTCCGCCCGTGTGCTCCAGCCTGCCAGGAATGACACCGACAGCATCAGTGATGTCCTGTGTTTGTCATCGTGGGGACACAGAAGGGGCCGGGGTGCCAGGAGGAAGCAGGTCCCACATCCAGCACTGCTCGCCCCAGCTCGCCAGGGACTTGCGGTGGGCTGAGGAGGTGTGCCAGGAGTCTGTCCTTCCCCGGCAGCTGCTGGTGGCCATGCCTGGCTGGAAAGGTGACCGGCAGCAAACACCCAGACGGGGAGAGGAGGGGAGATAAGCGTGGTTACGCACGTTGAGAAGAGTCCCACTTCAGCCTGAGCTTGAAAACGTGAGGAGGCCAGTTATTCCCTGCAGACCGCTTGCCTGCCTTTCTAGGAACGATGAGTGATAGGCTTAGATCATCACCCGGCCTGAGTCAGATATCTCAAGAGTTGGCATTAGATGCCTGAAAGCTCTGGCCCTGTGAATCTGGGTCAGCCTGGCAGAGCCAGCGTGCCGACAGAAGCGGTGTTCCCAGAGACTGGCCACAGCTAGGGAAGGATCTGTGTGGACCAGAGCTAAAGAGGGGCAGGGTGGCACAGGAACGTGCGATGAAGTAGACTTTGGTAGTGGAGATAAGAGATTTAATCTGCTGCTGGTGCCAAAGTCGAACGGGATGTGAAAGGTGAACGAAAAGTCCTCTGTGCCATGGATTCAAACGTCAGAAGCTGTTCCAAGCTCTGACTCTCTCACATGGCAAACAAATCTATGCCTGTGGCTGGAGTAATCTAAACCTGAGGCTTGCGCAGTGGAAAAGCCACTCACCTGGTGGCAGAGTGGCCTTGACACATGGAAATGGTGATGGCAACCTTGGCAGCCCCAAGACAGGCTCTCTGCTCCAAGCTGGCCTCGGTGGGGACTACAAGGGGAGAAAGATCCAAAGGTGATCCAACCACAGCTGCTGCTGGCCGTGCAGGGAAAAGCTGCCTGTGCTGCCCTGCCGTGGTGGTGGATGCATGCCTGGGACAGCTGCTGGGTCCCATGGAGCCTCCTCTGCCACGTGCCCTGCCCTGCCCAAAGGAAGACAGGGTTAAGCCGTGAGCTGCTGAACCTCCCAAATGCTACTGCAAATGCACTTTGAAATCATGCTCTGTGGTCGTGAATGCAGCCCCTGCTCGAGCAGGGGGAGCAGGAAGGGGTGCGGGGGAGCAGCCGGCAGGGACGGCAGGTCTGGAGGTAGACACGCCACGTGGAGCAGAGAAAGGGGACGGACTGCAAAGCAAGCAGCTTCCCGGGGCAAGGACAGCATCACCCTGCGAGTTCCTGAGGAGCCGGGTGACCGGAGGGACCAGCTGGGCACCCGGCAGCGGGAGTGATCGCGCCTGCACGTGTGTGGCCACGAGCGTGCACGTCTCTTGCCAACGCGATGACAAGCGTGACCCAACCTACAGGACACCACCCAGCCCCGGCGCTCCAGGCCCGTCTCCAGGGCCACCACCCCAAAGTGCGGGGGGAAAGACCCACATCTGCAGAGCTGGCACCCACCGCATCTCGGGTCTCACGGAGGCCCGCTCTGCCCCTCTCTCCCCTCCAGCCTGTCCCTTAATCACAAGCAGCTTGGGGAGACAATGAAGCAACCGCACCAAAGGGCCAGGCTCATTCCCCTTTGTCTTTCGCTCCTTTGAGGCTCGGCAGACGGGGCAAAGCCATCACGCCCACGGCCCAGCCATCGCACGTCCGACTCATCGCCTCCCCGGGCAGCCGAGCAGGCGGCGCAGCGGCACGAGGGCGCCGGGTGCCCCGGCACCGCGGCTGCTCTGGGTGAGCCAGCCCGTGACCCCCGGTGGCCCGTGCCCCCCCCGCCGGCCTGCAGAGTGTGCCAAGCACCTCGGGCGCTCGGCGCTCTGGCTTCCGCCCCCAGACAGGCTGTTGTCTCGAGCGGGACCACCGCACGTTCCCCAGGGATGCAGGCGGCCCCCTCCTCCCGCCAGCACATGGCACGGAGGCTTTCAGGCTGGTTTTCTCTGGAGTTCACACAAATCTCTCCTTCCCCGCTCCCACCCTCCCCCCCCCCCTTTCCCCACACAACTGAACTCAGCCATTGAGTCCAGCGAATGGTTTATTTCCCAGGTTAGCACAAAGCAGGGGTCTCTGTGTGCCCCTGGAACCAGCAGAACAAAACGCACAAAGACGTTAGAGGGCCATTTGTAACCAAATCCCAACACACCAGATACTGTTGGGATTATGTCAGAAATATTTTCCCAGAATGCCCTCCCCCCATGCTCCCTCCTACAGATGTTCGGCCCCCACACCACAGATGTTGTTCCTCTTGCAAAATGAGCTTTCCCCTTCCTCTCCCAAATGCCCCTGATGTTTTGCACATTGCTGTCGCGAGGTCTCCCTTCCACCCTGCCCTCCGCATCCCCCCTTCCCCGCTCCCTTGCGGACAGCCAGGCGGCAAGGCCAGCCTGTCCCCAGTGCCAGCTCCATGGGGACATCGGCTTCTGGGCGTCCGTGCCCCTCTTGCCTCCAACCAGCACCTCTGCCCGTTAGATAAACCCTCTCCCTCTCCCTATTTCAGCCTCTCTCCTTCTGTGTGTGACCTCCCAGGCCTCACCAGCCCCAGACAGGCTCACCAAAGGGACCTGCACCAGGAGGTCCTTGGCGGAGATTTGTTCCTGGAGGAGGGAGGGGTGGGGGGGATGCTGGGCACATTTCAGGCACATTTCAGACACCGGAGAGAACGGCCCGACCTTCCTCTCGCCACCGACAGCCCACGCGGAGCACTCAGGGAGACGCCTGGCAGGGTGTCAGGGCCCCGCTCCAAGGCCTGCGACAGATCTCCCTGCGCCCGGAGCGCCCGGAGCGGTGCCGGCCTCCTCCCCGCCGGCCTCGCCGCGCCGTCCCGGCTGCCAGGGTGGCACGGGGCTCCGGGAGCTCCCAAAGGAGAGCGTGGCCAAGCGCTGGTGGCACGCAGCACCCTGGCAGGATGGGTGTTTCCTCCCGAGCCCTGCGCCGTGCTGCCCCGTGGCTCCGTCGCAGCAGGCAACGGGACTCATCTCCATCATCCTTCCCTGCTGTGCTGGGGGGGCTGCAGCCGGGAGGGGCGTTCATCCTAAAGCGGGGGGCCACGGAGCTGCGTCAGCCGCTTTGGTGGCCGGGCTGGGAGCCTCTCCCATTTCTTCCGCCAGCGGGAGAGCTGGATCCGTGAGCCGTGGAGTACGCGGGGAGCCAGGGCAGGCGACACGGAGCGGGGATCTCCCAAGGACTTGGGATGGTGCCTCTTGTCTGGGGGCACCGCAGCTCCTGTGCACGTTACGAGCCGCTTCTCTCCTGGCTTTTCTCGCCCTTACCGAGGCAAAAAGGACCCAGAGTGGGGTCCCCAGGAGATGCAGCCCGAAGCAGCTCCGGCAGCCCCGTGGCCTCTCGCTGCTCGGCGTCAGCGTGGCCCGGCCGTGGCCCCGTGCTCATCACCTGCTCCCAGCAAGAGCCCGACTCCGCTGGGCTCCCACCGAGCCGGCCGCAGCGCGAGGTTTTTCTTCAAAGATAGAGTTTATTGCTAAAAATGTTTTGATCAGTGATAGCTCATATTTACATTGATATGTTTTTTTAAAGGAATATTCAAGTAAACATTTCCAATAGTTTCTGGCATAATCTCTAGCTTCTTTTTTTTTTTTTTTTCCTATACACAAACATTAAAAATAAATAAACTGTACACAGAAAATTTCCTTTAGCATCTCTACATGACTATATGTATTCCCACACAACAAAACGATTCCACTCTTTCATAGATTTGTACTTTTCTTTAAAATTTCCTCCTTAATTAATTGTTATACACTTAAAAAAAAAAAAAAAACCTAGAGAGCTTGGCGAATTAGTTGAAACACCAGTGACAAGGTCTGAAGAAGACGGAAAAAAAAATACAGCACAGAGGAACAACTGTCTTCAGGGATGCTGCCGTTCTTTCTTTCATTCTTTTTTTTTTTTTCTTTCCCCCTCCTTTTCCTTTTGTTAAAATCATCTTTACAGGAAATTTCTGCCCTTCCCTTCAGCAGGGAAGCGCTCAGGTTCTGTGGGGACAGGTTTAAAATGTGGTCCTATGTTTTTAAAATAATAATAATAACAATAATAATTATAATAATAATAAAAAACAGCTGCAATTTTCCCCCTTTCCTTTAAAATCTCTCTATTTACACGACTGGTATTTTTTTTTTATTATTTTTTATTTTTTTTTTCCCTTTTGTTAGAAGGCTATATACGTATAAAAATAGACATCTGATTGTAGTGCTTTACTGTGCCTTTGGCCTGCCCTGCAGTTCCTGGGTTCGCTTTTCCCCCTTTCAAATAAAATAACATTAAAATAAGTCAAAAAAAAAAAAACGGTTCCTCCCCCCCCCCTCCTCTTCCTCTTCCCCCTTTCCCCTCCCCGGGCGCCCAGGAGGGGAGGAGAGGGAGGGGGGGGGGGCAAAAAAAAAAAAAAAAAAAAAATAACCACGAAACATCCAAACGAAAAAAGAAACCAGTGCAAGGGGCCGAGGGAGGCGGGGGGGCCGTGCCGTGCCGAGCCGAGCCGTGCCGGGCCGGCGGCTAGCAGGAGCACTTGCACTCGGAGATGAGCGGGTACTGCACGGGGATCCAGGTGCAGTACTTCTGGCTGGACCAACCCTGGCAGTGCCAGCGCAGGAAGGTCTTGGTGACCGATTTGACGGGCTTGCAGAACATGCCCTCGGGCAGCGAGCAGGATTTCTCGGCGAAGCAGTTGCCCTCCTTGATGTAGCGCGGCCAGAAGCGCACCCCCAGGTCCTTCCAGGTGTAGAGCACGGGGCAGTAGGTGTACGCCCAGAGCCACTGCAGCACCTTTCGCCTCGCCTTCTTGCCCACCCGCAGGCGCGGCCCGTGGGGCGGTGCGCCCAGCTCCAGCCGCCGCAGCTCCGCGGGCAGCGCCCCCCGCGCCCGCCCCGCAGCCGCCGCCGCCGCTTCGGCGCCCGAGGCGTTGGCGGGGCCCGGCACGGCCACGGCCATGAAGCCGGGGTCGAAATGGCTTCCCAGCTTCTTGCGCAGAGTCCTCTCGTCCAGGTCCTGCTCCTTGGGGTCGTACTCGGGGTCCGGGTGCTCCACGATGTCTTTGACGGGCAGGTTGTCGCTGGGCGAGGGTCGCAGCCTCAGGAAGGGCTGCCCGCCGCCCGGCCGCAGCAAACCCAGGCAGGAGCAGAGCAGGAGCGCCCCGATCGCCGTCATGCTCCGGGCGGGCCCGGCCCGGCCCGGCGGCCCGGCCCCGCCGCCCCGGCTCGGCGCTGGCTTCCCCCCGCGGGGCTCGGCGCTGCGGGCTCGGCTCCTAGCGCTGCCCGGCGGCGCCTGCCGGCTCCCGGGGACTCATAAATAGGCAGAGACAAAGTCCGGCGAGGCCCGTTACTTTAAATAGCTCGGCCGGGGTTGTGTGACAGACGCATCTGAGGCTCGCTGCGCGGCCGCTGGCTCCCCGGGGCTCCCCGCCGGGCCGGCTCCAGCCGCGGCCGAGAGCGCCGGGGGGTCCGTGCCTCCCCCGCGGGCGGCGGCGGGGCAGGGCACGGCGGCAGCCGAGCCTTCCTCCTCCTCCTCCTGTCCTCCTCCTCCTCCTCCTCCTCCTCCTCCTCCTTCGCCGCCGCTCTCGCTCGCTCGCGCTCTCCCCCCCAAAATTCACAGCGGACTCGTCTCCATCGCCATGGTGACAGCTGGGCTGAGCCCCACGACAGCTTGTCTAGACGGTGTGACAGGGTTTGGCGTGAGACCGGAGCCCGAGAATAAAACCCTCCTTTATAGCCGGGCGAGCCGGCCGAGGGGGCGGGGAGGAGGGTCACGGCGGCGCGGCCCGCTCGGGCGGCCCCTGCGCCGCGCCGCCTGCGCGGGCACCGCCGGGGCGCGGGGCTCAGGCGGCGGCGGGCGGCGGCGGCGGCGGCAGCGCCCCCGGCCCGGCCGGGCTCCTCCTCATAGCGGGCGGCTGGGGCGGCCCGCGGCCCCCCGGGGCATCCTCGGCGGGGGGCTCCCCGGCAGCGGCGCGGCGAGGCTTGGCGAGGCGGCGCGCCCCGGCTCCCGGCGCGGTCCCCGGCGGCTCCTCGGCGACAACGGGCGGCGCTCAGCACCCCCGGCGGCCCATGCTGCCGCCCCGCTCCGGGGGCCCGCTCGGCCCCGCGCTGCTCAGCGCATCCAGCCGCGGGGCAGCTCCGGCGCCCGGCGCGGTGCGGTTCCGCGAAGCCCGGAGGGGCCCTGTCCGCTCCGGTTGGGTTCGGCTCGGTTCAGTTCAGCTCGGCTCGGCCCCGCTCCGCTCGGTGCCGCTCGGTGCCGCTCGGTGCCGTGCCTGCCCCGCTCCGCGCCGCTGCCCGCCCGCCGCGCACTGCCGTGCGCCGCCCGCCGCCCAAGTTAAATACGCGCCCGGCTCGCGGCCGCTCCGCCCCCGCTGTCACTTTCGCCGCGGCACCGGCACCCGCCGCCCCCCGCCCGCCCCGCCCCGCCCCGGCCCCGCCGCCCCGGTCCCGCACGAGGCCCCGCGCCCCCCGCCCGAGGGAGCCGGCACCGGGTCGCTGCCACCCCCCTCTCCCCTCTCCGGCACCGGGGTGGCCGCCGGTGGCCGGGCTCCTGCCAGCCGCAGCCCCGCCGCGGGAGCTGGAGGAGCCGCCGAAGCCGTCCCCGCAGCGGCCGAAGAGTCCCCGCAGCCCCCCCGGGGCAGGCTCTGGGGCCGGGCATCGCCTCTTTGCTGCGGGGTGCAGCCGGCCGCGCTGCGGCGCCGGTATCTCGGCACCCTCTGCCGGGCAGCTCGCAGCCGGCCCCGGAGCATCCCTGCCTGCCGGCCCCTCTGCCCTGCGTCCCGCAGCGCCACGCGACGTGGGAGCGAGCCGGGTGACATCGGAGGCTCTCGCTTCGCTCTGCAGCGTGGGGCTGGGGGAACGGAGCTAAAGCTCGCGGAGAGATCCGGACCCGAAGCCTTTGAGGCGTGGAGGGTGGGAGCCTGGTGTGCATCAACAGAGCAAAAACCCAAAGCCTTCTTACCTCCTTTACCTCCACATTGCTCGGCGCTGAGCTCACTCTTGAACCATGTCCAGAAATTGGACACACAGCTGGTTCCTCTAGGCCGACAGTGTGTAAGAACATTCCTGCCCATGCCAGTCACTCCCTCCCAAAGGCATGAGATAACCAGCTACCCACTGGGGCCAGGGCAGGGCGTGGAGGGTAGCAGCAGATCGCCGCGCCAATTTCTCACCACGCTGTGCTCATCACCCACCCAAAAAACCAAAAGGCTGCAGCCACAGCCATCCAGGAGCACCCCGCTGGTGCAAGCTGGTTGCACGCAGCAAACTAATCAAGGGCGCAGTTCTCCTAGGGTCACATCTCTTTGTCATCCTAGAAATGCCAAATGTTGGGATCAGGCAAGAAAAGAAAGCAAGACCCCCAAAATGGACAGGTCAAAGATCCAGCCCTGAGTCTGCGTGAAGTCAGAGCAGCCCCTGGCCATCACGAGACGAAGCTGCCATGTGCTGGCTCAGGAGCTTGGTCCCTAGGGTGTCTGGGTTGTTCGCAGTATGTGGGATTAAAGCACACGGTTTAAATGTACTCAGCCTTTCTTCCTTTGCTGTCATGAGCCTGGCTTGGTTTGCTGAACTCGTAGTCTTTCTTCGCTCATTTGGATCACACACGCAGAGACTCTGCAATTACAGTAACAAAAAAACCCTTTTCACCCCTTCTTTTATCATTAGCACCCAAAACAATTTGCAAAAGGGATCGGTATCATTAGCCCTTGATAGAGAATATTATCAGTACAACGTTCTCATTACTCATTCCCCGAATCCAATCCTCCTGCAGCGGTTGAAGCGAAGTCAGCCTGGATGTGCAGGCAGATGTGTGCTCTGCGTTCACTCGCTGCCGGGTGGGAAAACGCGGGGCTCTTCGCAGTGTCAGAATTAAAGCAAACACAGTAACGAGAAGCAGCTCAGGGAAGAGACACCCAAGAGTCAGGAATGGGGCAATTACTCAGCGAGATGTAGTGCTGTTGGCACTGCTGTGTTAGTAAATCCCGGTGAGGGGATTAACATCTGCCTGTAATTGTAATAATAAAATCCGACATGTATACAGCATTTTTCATCCTGAAGGATCCCAAAGCACTCAAGTAACTTAATTCCTTCAGCTGTCTCCTGGACTTTATAAACATGCTTCTTAATCATCCCACACCAGGCGAAGATGGCTTTACTCTGGGCACAATCACGTCACTTCGACAAGTCCCCCTGGGGAGAGGAGAGGCTCTCGGGGGTGGGCTGGGAAAAGTTTCCCCTTTCGGAGAGGCAAGATCCAGGGAAAGTGTTGCCTGGCACGTCCCAGGGCAGGGGAGAGACCCCAGGAAGAGCCTGCCTTCCCAAGCAGCCAGTTCCCGCACCAGCTAGCACTGCAGAAGGGGTAGAAGAACACCTTAACTTTTCAAGGTGGGAAAAATGATGACAAGCCCCTAGACAGGACACTGGAGGCTTCATTCTGTCCACCATAACATCCAAAGGCTGCTTTTCCAGCCCCTTCCCGTTCTCCTCCTTTTGGGACTGGAGATGCTGGGGCACAATCCTATTTATGGCCGTGTGTGCAGGCTGGCGGGCTGAGTGGTGCTATCCATTCATATATGTTCCTTCTCGCTGCTCTCTGTGGGCACACAGCCCAGCTCACAATCTAGCCCTTAATTAAAGGATTTAAAGTTGGAAAGGCTACATATCACATACAGAAAAGCCTTATCAAAATAATTCCTTATAAAAAGAAAGACGTGATGTTAAGGGCACCTTCTGGAGGATAAAATGGTCTCAAACTACTTATTTTTGCCTCTTTCCCTTACTTGGCATCTTTTTGTCATCTAAAGCAGACCTGAACATTTTTGTAAAAAAAAAAAAAAAAGGCATTTTTATTTTACATTTGAAACTTAAGCAATGCCTACTCTGTTTTCACTGGAAGGCTCCACAAGCAAGTAAATTCCTAGTAGAAGTAAAAACACCAGTGGTACTGTCTTGGCAATACATTTATTCAGCTGACAATGTGCTTTATCTTCTAGTTTGTTTCAGGTAGCACTAATATAACTCAAATGCCAGAGATAAAGAGACAGAATAAAATTGTCTTTGTTACCAAGTTGTTCCTACCCCTTCAGTTCTAGTCACAAAAGCTTTGAATGCAGACCTTAAACTGCTGAAAAGCCTTCTGCCCTGTGCAGGACTGCAGGAAGCCCATTGGAAATCTAAAAATGGAAGAGAGAGAAGAGAAGAGAAGAGAAGAGAAGAGAAGAGAAGAGAAGAGAAGAGAAGAGAGAGAAGAGAAGAGAAGAGAAGAGAAGAGAGAAGAGAAGAGAAGAGAAGAGAAGAGAAGAGAAGAGAAGAGAAGAGAAGAGAAGAGAGAGAAGAGAAGAGAAGAGAAGAGAAGAGAAGAGAAGAGAAGAGAAGAGAAGAGAAGAGAGAATAGAGAGAAGAGAAGAGAAGGAAGAGAAGAGAAGAGAAGAGACGAGGAAGAGAAGAAAGAGAAGAGAGAGAAGAGAAGAGAAGAGAAGAGAAGAGAAGAGAAGAGAAGAGAAGAGAAGAGAAGAGAAGAGAGGAGAAACTCACAGCCAAATGTCTTCTATCTTTCTGGGGGCTTTCTATTGCTTTCTGACTGTTTGTTTAAGTTTTCCAGGCTCTCTTTATGCTTGAGAAATAAAGCTGATGGGCTGGCATAGCAACCATTGGGAAAGTCTTGGGTCTGACAGGACAAAAGCCCTAATTTTCACTAAAGGAAAGAAAAAAAAAGAACTAAATGACGGTGCACCAGGTTTTCATTAGAGATATGTTTATTTTCCAGTAGAAATACATTACCCTGCTCTCATCAGTGTGTCTAAAGGAGCGGTTCCCAAAGTATGCCCTGGCAAGTGGTTGGCAAGGGGCCATGGAGCAGACTCCGGCAGCAGTTCGTGGGCTCGCAGCTCCCTGTGGGCTGCCACGAGCAGGAGGAATCCAGCGGCTGCCCCAAAGCCTGGGTGCTCCCTGTGCTGGTGCCAAGGGAGGTGGCGAAGCCCCCAGACCTGGCCAGGGCCGGCTGTGCCTTGGCACGATCTGCTGTGCATCAGAGGTCAGGGGCCAGAATCAGGTGTCTCCAGCTGGCCAGGTTCCCTCAGGGCAAAAATGTCACTGTAAGGGTCAAAAGGACAGGACACAGACGGGGACACCCATGGACACACACATGGGTTCCTAAGTTTAATTTCTGTGAGCAGTTCAGCAGTGCGGATATGAATGAAGTCCTTCACCAGCTCCCAGGTTTGTCTCCCTGTCCCACCTCCCTTCTGCTTTAGGGACCTAAATCCGTGCAGGTCTGGTACCTTAAATCCGTGCAGGTCTGGTACCTGCCCTGCTGCACCCACAGCTGCTTCTGCACAGCCACCAGCACCGCAGCCCCTGCCTCCCCCTGGCTGCCCCACGCTGGGGGGGCACAGGGGAGAACCTGGGGCAGGTTTGGTGCAGGAAACTGAGCTGGTGGCACCAGGCATCCTGCAAGGGACACGGGGAGACCTCAGCGATGCTCCTGGGGGCTCAGCTGCTGCAGCACCTACCCCACAGCGAGCGCAGACGTGCCAAAG